GGGGGGGGGGGGCGGCTTGTTTTACAACGTCGATGCCAAGCGACGAAAACCCAACCCCGACGAGAATATCGGAGGGGGGCGGTGGTAGCAGACATTCTCCTTTTTCGTGATCGTTTGCTTTGTGATTAGTACATGATATGTTTTGGTTCACGTCCGCCAGAGGTGCCCGTGGCGATTCAACATGGGATCGAAAAGCTCCTGAAAGTTATCCAAGTTTATCTTACGGAGTCACGCGTAAAGCGCCACACGACGGCTACATGAAGGTGCCTCATCCCCGACGTTTGTCGACGCAGATCGTGTCGAAGGACAGAGAACTCCTGACTTCACGCATGGAGGCCGCCAGACGAGAGCAGGCGAACGGAACCCCGCTAAACCAAATCACCATTCAACAAGACTGTGCCTGCCAGATTCGCTACGCGTTAGGGACCGTCTATCAAACTCACGCGTCTGAGAGGCAAGTGATCGGGTTCCCTCGTGATTATACCTCGGTTGTCTCTTGGCAAAACAAGTACGTGACACGAGAACAGTCCCTTGTTTGTAGCGGCACGCTGCGGTTCAGATGGAATGACAGCCATCGACAATTTATTTTGGTCCAATGCAACGGTGTCATTGACACGATTCGTGTAAGCTCAACCAAACTGTGTCGATAAACGTCTACCGTATAGTCAACCCCATCTCCAACATCTCACCATCTGTTGAGTGAGATGTTAACCATCTATACGTCGACGTAGTTTGATGATATTGACGGGTTCCAGTAGTTTTCCATTGTATTTTCACCTCACCGCGTGCAGAGGTGGTTGAAGGGACAAAAAATTTGCTCGAATTTTCATTTTTTTTTTTTTTCCTTCCGACAATTGCAGATGTACCTCAGAAAACTTTCACTTAATGTCTTATACTCCACATGAATATTAAACCAATACGAAGTACAACAACATGTGTAGGACTTATTTCTACTGTCACTTACATCGTAAAAATATCTCCTCTTCAACTCCAAATAAAACCAATGACAATCCTCATGGTATCCTATATGCGTTCGTAAGCTTGCTAAAATACTACTGCGTTGATGTCCTCTTGTAAACGCTGAAATCCAACAAATGCTTTGATCCATGCTACATCTCCGTGTTGGAAACGCCCTTTCTTCTCCGTTCATGATAACATCTTACCCTATTCTACGGAAATCTGTCACATCTACTCTCAAGCAAGACGCTTACTTCAAACGAAAACGCGTTCTACGATGCGTCTACACTCCATCCCCATATCATTGGCGTTGACTGGTTCGAGGTCGATCTTGTTCGCCTATTTTCGGCGTCTTGACGCCCGCGCAATGCGAGCTTGTACCTCTGCACTCGCCGAGATATGGCCACCTGCGTAGCCACCGAAACGATCTGAAGAAGTCGTTCCTTGAAGACTCCTTTCAGAGCCATCGTTCCTCCGTCCCTTCCTCCCACGGCATGTGTCGCAAGTTCATCGATGAACTCGTAACCCTACTCTCCAAGGCGGCCAAAGCTTTCCACGGCTAAGGTGGTAAGTTTTTAACTGTGTTCGTCAAAGGACATGTGTCCCGAACGAGCGTAGTGCTAACGCTTTCACGCCTCGGATGCTTGGGCTGCGGTTCCATCGCTGGTCGCGCTGCCGTTCCGCAAGTGTACCTGTGCTTGCGGGTCTGCGTGTGTGACATCGAGGAGTATTCCTTTGTTGCGGTACCCCGGAGAAGATGCGTTCGTGAGGGCTCCTGGCCTGATGACGATGTCCATGCTCAGGTTTCTTTCCCCCGTGAACGGTGCCCCGCTTTCAACGTCGTGTTTGACGCGAAGGCCGTTGAGTGCTCTCGATAGTGCGTATTTTAACGGCTCGTGCATGTTGACCTGTGCTCCATCCCTTCGACAGGTCCTTGCGTGCACCGTTGTGATGATCTCGCCTTCCCTGCCTCTGTGGCACCTGGGACATCTTTCCGCCAAGAATTCTTCAACTCCCAAGGCGCGTCTCGTCGCGTAGACCAATTCGTTCGATGGAATCTCTCGAGCTCGGTCGGTGGGACCCGCTCTNGTAGGGGTTGTCCCTCGTGGGTGGTACCGCCTCCTGAGGGAGGTGCTCCTGAGACTACAAAAACTTTTCAAGTTGTATCTTGTTAATCGCCTTGCCCAGTTTGTGCTGGGCTTTCCTCGGCGTAGTAGATTCCCCATCGTGTGCTGCCAGTTCTGCAACGGTGGGCTGACGCCTTCCGGTTTCTCCTGGCGGTTCTAAGGCCCACTCAACCCATGACGGGGGAAGGATCCCCTTCAGAATCTCCACCGATACTCCATGCTCCTGGTTGAGTTCTTTGATAGCGTCCCCCATCGGCTCCACCAACACGGTTCCCGGTATCCGACCCTCTCACCGACTCTCCCAATGGACCCCGCAACGCGGCTGTAGCCGCAGGAAGGGTGCCGGCTAGGTTGCCCAGAGAAGCTGAGAACCTTCGCATAACGGCTGCTGGTAATACTAGTCCTCCGGCTCCTCTCGACAGGCGCGCCTGGGCTTGTTGATAGGGTTTAACTTGAAGCGGTCAGGCTGGCAGTCGTCATGGAAGAACTCTTCTTCGTCTTCGTGTCTCTGAGCCCCATCGTTGCCTCTAGGACCCACATCACCATATTGTCCAGGCGTTTACAAGCCCCTTTCACTAGCTTATGATTGATGCCTCTCTCGATATATCCGGATCGCTGTGTCAGCGATTGTGATGTGACGAGGTGAGCCACCTGTTTGTCTGGCATGCGCACCAGCAAACGAGCAAGCTTCTCTGCACCCCCTTCAGTTATCACTTTCATTGCGATATCCTCGACGTAGGCATCCGTCCCAATGGGGACTCCCACAACTGTGATGCCCTCCTCCGCAATCGGTAGGCCTGCATCGCCAAGTGGCCTCCTTTCTGTTGGCGTCACGTCGTGCCCTGGTGGGGGAAGCGCTGAGCTCTTCCCCCTGTTGACGATGATGCCCACTGCTTCTAGTTCGTCGACGAGGTCCGGTGTCACCTGGATATTTTCCGCTGTGATATCTTTGAAGTGCAGGCTGATGTCGTCCATATAAGCTTTCAAGCATACCCCGAGGTGGTCGTACTTGGCTCTAAGCTTCAAGACGATCGGGACTAGGATGAAGCAGAACAGGGGCGGTCCCATTCCATCTCCTTGCTGCACACCGCTCTTGCACTCGATCGTCCGACGCTCTCCGGAGTCCATCGTGTATATCGCCTTTGCCGGGATTTCGTCGTAACACCTGGCGATGTACCCCACGAGATCTGGGACGCTCTTTGCGGCCTGGGCCATTATGGCGGTGCGCTTGCCCGTGTTGAAGGCATTTGAGCAATNGACGCTCTCCGGAGTCCATCGCGTATATCGCCTTTGCCGGGATTTCGTCTTAACACCTGGCGATGTACCCCACGAGATCTGGGACGCTCTTTGAGGCCTGAGCCATTATGGCGGTGCGCTTGCCCGTGTTGAAGGCATTTGAGCAATCCGTCTGGACTACCCAATGGCCTGTCTGATGAACCAGTTGTGCGTCGATCGCAACTTGTTCAACTCCTCCAGCTACCGCCACTCCGAATTGGTCCGCTTCCCGAAATATTTCTTCCAGTTTCGGTTTCCACTCCCTGACCGTTCCCGCTGCAATCAGCCTTCTCCAAGTCATTCCAATGCACACTGGACGGCACTTTTCACCGAGGGCGATTAGACTGGATTGTTTCAAAAGAGTCCAGAACTCCGGTGGGAACGCGTGGGGATCTTTGATGAGCCTCCTCCAAAGGGACGACATCGCGTTGCTGAACTCTTCCCGACCAATTTTAGTGTTGACGATGGACTTGAGGTGGGAGAAACGTGGCCCGTCATTTCCTGCTCCAGAGTTGGAGCTCCTGCGGTTGACGACTTGAAGGAGTACTTGTGGATCGAACTCGGTTTCTGGCCTCCATCTCGGGGCGCTTCCTTCCTCCTCCTCGGTGCGGCTTGCAGCTATGGCTTCGGCGATGGCCTGCTCCACTTGTACGGGATCCTCATGCGGAAATTTGGCTTTCAGACGTGCCCATGTCTCGTCGTTCCCCGGTGACGGTTGATCGGCTAGGAGCGCTCTTGCTGCGTCCTTCACGCCTCCAGAGTGCCGGCATGCCTGCGCCGCCCTTTTGAACTTGTCGTCGGGCCTGTCTTCCCGTGCCGGTCCCCTGCTCCTTGCACTCGCCGCCTTGGTATACTCAATCAGCCAAGGAAGAACGGACGATATATCCTCTCTTTTGAGCGATTTGTAGCGATGTTTTCGAGCTATCCGACCATCAAAGAAGTGCAGAATACCTGGTAGGAGGTACCAAAGTTTGATGACCCGGATAGTGGAAAGTGGGGTCCCGGTCGCCGAGGAAGCTCCGCCGCCTTCTGCTAGCTGCTTGTTAACAAGGTGGAGCACGTGAGTTTGGAGACGGGCATGGTCGGAAGCAAACCTAGGTTGAACTTTCTTCACCGTCTGGAACCTGAGTGAGAGATCATCCATGCTGACATCGTCCAAAGCAGGCCCTATTCCCGGACTGTCTTGGTTCCAGATGTATAGCGAACGTGCTCCGTGGGGTTCGTCGTTTAACCCCCTTATCAGGCTTTCAGCTCGTAGCTGCAGCCCCGGGTCAGCTTGAACCGCCGCCTCCAGGCTGTCCCTCCGAGAGTGTTGGGCCCCGCACCCGTGCACCCTACACTAAAGCAGCGCGCGTTCTCCGCGTCCCTCCAGGCTAGATAGTAAGCATCTTGCGTGGATGGGATATTCGCAAGTGGGTTGTACCACACGGTGTCCCTCGATGACCTGGCCCGAGCACACTCCGCATCTGGTACTGGAACGAGGGTGCTCGCTTCTGTTCGTGGCGCCAGGTTCCATGCTTCCTCCAGCGTCCCCGTTCCTGGTCGCTCGGTCATCGGCACCCGGAGTTCCCCTTCCCCCCTAGCCCCTTCCCCGTTGTGTTTCTCCGCGTGCCGGATGTGATGGCGTTCCTCTTTCTCGCGACTCACCGTCTGGATCCGATTCACTACCCTGTCGGCGTCGCCTGTTTCCGCCTTGAGTTGGTTCCAAGGAAGTTCGTTGACGTTCACCCGATTTAGTAGCGTCATCCGATAATCCGCTACCCTCGCGAACAGATGGTCTGCGCCGCCTTGGCGTTCCTAGTGATTTGCTTCTTTCCCCGGGTCTTACTTGAGGGCTCGTCCGACTGGTGGCGTGTGCTGTTGTGGATGGGTTCCTCGGGGACAACAATCCTTCTTCCTCCTCTGCGCCGCTTCCCATGTCAAAGCCCGGGTCGAAGCCAACTCCCGTCACCCTTCGTGAGGCCGCGACAGTCGGGGTCACTGTGTTTCTGCTGGTTTCGCCTCCTTGGTGGGGTGGGACATGGTGTTCATCCCAGTCGTCGTGGCGCCGAGCCACCCCCCCTACCCGCGGGAATGGCGGCAGAGGATGGCCGGGGTTGCGTAGGGCGTTCTGTACTGCTACGGTGTAGAATGTGAGATGCGATTCGCACTCCTGGTCCAGGTGCACCAGGTATTCCTGTACGTGTGGCGTAATGTAGATTCTGACCCGGGGGAGCCGCAATAGCACCTGATACGGCCGTACTCCATGGGCGTAAAATGTAGAGCGGTATCTCTGGACCAACGGGTCCCACCCGTTGTCCTCGTTGCGGCCCCGGGAAAGTATATGTACACGCTTCTGTCTATCCCGAATACGTCGCAGAACAGAGCGACCAGGAGCCAGGAAGCCGTCGCACTTCTCCCGTGGGCCCGCACCACACTCTCGAAGGAGTCGAAATGCCCCGCCGGGTCCGCGCCGGATTCGAACATAGACCATGTCTCGAAATGTCCCTCTATCTCGGATGCGAAAGACACTGCCTCCCTCAGGAAGTCCCACCGTCCCCCGGCGTGCGGCCGTTCGTAGTTCTGGACAAGTTTCGCGGAATGAGGAGGTCGTCGTCCGTTCGATCCTTCCTGCAAGCAGGTGGCACATGGTCGTGGATCCACGCGTCCGTGTGCTATCTGGTCGGCTCTGTCCCACAGGCAGTTGGCGTGCACCGACCCGTGGTGTCCACACGGGATCTNCAACCGGTCCCACCCGTTGTCCTCGTTGCGGCCCCGAGGGAAGTATATGTAAACGCTTCTGTCCATCCCGAATACGTCGCAGAACAGAGTGACCAGGAGCCAGGAAGCCGTCTCACTTCTCCCGTGGGCCCGCACCACACTCTCGAAGGAGTCGAAATGCCCCGCCGGGTCCGCGTCGGATTCGGACATAGACCATGTCTTGGAATGTCTCTCTATCTCGGATGCGAAAGACACTGCCTCCCTCAGGAAGTCCCACCGTCCCCCGGCGTGCGGCAGTTCGTGGTTCTGGACAAGTTCCGCGGGATGAGGAGGTCGTCGTCCGTTCGATCCTTCCTGCGAGCAGTTGGCACATGGTCGTGGATCCACGCGTCCGTGTGCTATCTGGTCGGCTCTGTCCCACAGGCAGTTGGCGTGCACCGACCCGTGGTGTCCACACGGGATCTGGATAGGCTCGAGTCCCTCGGCGTGTGGTGGTGGCTCAAAGTGGCCTTCACAGTACGAACACGATCCGGTGCTACCGCCTCCGTTCGCGCCGGTGAGTTGGGGCCGTGTGTCGGGGACGGAATGTCGCGTTTCACCTCTGTCAAGCTCGCGCAATCTCTCACGAGCTGCTACAACCCTATCCTGCAAGGTTTCCCGCTCTCCATCAACGAGACTCCATGCCGGGATCGTGATGGCTACTATCTATAGGAGGCGGGGCCAAAAGACGTCGCGCCTCGAATCGTGCATGGCTGGATTCGGGCACGCCACCATCCTAGAGCTGTCCGACGGCGCGGTAGAGAGCAGGTGGTTCTCCACGAAGGTCATCGCGCACGTAAGATGTACCCAGCATGAGCACGGCGCCGTGACGAGCGGGCGTTGCCAAACCCCGTTCTGATGGCATACGACGCAGACCCCGTCCGTCGCCCCTCGCGGAGAAGGCGTTGTAGTCGGAGCAGGTGGCGACGGGGCGGGCGAAGGAGGAGGAGAAAGTGTGTAGACGTATGTGGACGGGGCTGGCAATTCTGTGGGTTGTCTCCTCGTTCCGACGCGAACCGGCATGCGCGGCCCGAGGTCTCGCAGCTGGCCCCTGATTGCTTCGATCCGCGCGTCTAACGCCCGCTGATCCGCTTCGTGTTCGTAAAAATTGAATCGGGCGTGCTCCGGTAGAACGACCGTTGCTTGGAAGCCGTGATCCTGTCTTGTACACTGGTGCGGGCACGAAATAATGTCGTGTCCGCTCGCCAGGGCGTCGTGCAGTTGATCTTCTACGAGTCCCACCGCGCATCGAGTGTGGTAGTGACATCCACAGGGCGGAGACATGGCAGCCCCCTGACCTATTGATTCGTGACAAACTCCGCAGAGATGGCGAAGCGCGTGCGTTTGACTCGCCTCCCGTGCGGTCAANCGGGCACGAAATAATGTCGTGTCCGCTCGCCAGGGCGTCGTGCAGTTGACCTTCTACGAGTCCCACCGCGCATCGAGTGTGGTAGTGACATCCTCAGGGCGGAGACATGGCAGCCCCCTGACCTATTGATTCGTGACAAACTCCGCAGAGATGGCGAAGCGCGTGCGTTTGACTCGCCTCCCGTGCGGTCAAGCGAGCCACGTCCCTCTCCGATCTCGCTGCTCGAAAAGCATCAGAAACTACGTCGTTCCCTTGCTGCTGTTCCAAGCTGGTACTCGTCTCTGAGATGGTGGACCCTATACGGCACATGGGACAGTGGAGGGTATCGCCCACTTCCCGCACGCACGCCCTCGCATAACAGCCCACACACATCGCATGATCGCAGCTAACGAGGTTCACATACGGTTCGCTGACATCCCCTTAACAGATGCCACACACCAGTGGTTCAGTAGGCGCTGCCGCCGTTTCCACGGTGGCCGAAGAAGGCGTGTGTTCCGGCGAGGCCAGCGCTGTAGTTGGAGACGTGTCCCGAGGCTGGGCGACTGTCCGTTGCTCCGGCGAATGCGACGAACACTGTTCCCGCCGGGGGGGACGCTCCTCTGACCGCATCTGCTGCGATGGCGTCGACCGCTCCGGGGCCAGTGCAGTCGGGCGACCCGTTGGCTGGGCTAGATCGCTGGTATCCGTCTGGGCCAGGGACTGCGGGGCAACTCGGTCGTCGTGACGAGATTCGGGGGAACTGCCTCCCTCCGAAGGAAGAGAGGGCCCTGACTGCGGTTGACTTGGTGTCATGAGGGCAATCGGGACGGCGGGCAACGTGGGGAGCAGGTCTGCGACTTCCCCAACTGCAGCACTTGCTACGTCCGTTCTTCGGCCCGAGGGGGGAGCAGAGTCTCCCCGGCGTGCCTCGGGAGGTGTCTCCCCGGTGTCTGCCTCGGGGGATGAATCCCCCGGGTCTGCCCCCAGCAAATCCCCTTCCTCGGCGTGGCCTCCTCGTATTGGACAGGGGGGGCGGCAGATACCTGACGCCCGACCACGGCGCTGGTGCGCGACCGAGTTCTCGTCGAGATGCGGCCCTCGTTGGCAAACCCCTGGTCCCGAGTCTCGTCGACGCCCTCGTCCGAGCGCCTCATCGCTGCTAGCCGAGCAGATGGGAGGGTGGGTTGGTCTGTCGGGCTCCGTCCCTCCCGGGTATTTGGCGGAGCTTCTCCGCTGGAACCGGAAGTGGGAACCTCCGACGGTTCGGTGGGAGACTCCGGCATCGGCGATCCCACGTACACGCCAGCTGTTAACTCTCCCGACAAAGCTGATACGTCCGTGCGCGGCGGGGTCGACAGGAGCTCTAGCGCCGCTCCTCCCGATGGGGCAGCCGCGGACAAGGCAATCTCCGAGAATCCCGGCGGCCGGCGGGCTGAAGTCAACGTGGGCGTCTCAGAAGACGCGAGAGCCGGACCGACCGGCGTAGTCACAGAATCCGTGTGTGTCGTAGCGCGCCGCACGCGCAACCGTGTCCTTGATGAGATATGGCTACCTAATGAAGGACCTAGGCTCCCAACAGTACCTACGTCTCCCCCGGCCGAACCCCCTCGTGCCGGTAAGACAGGTGGGAGGGACGTGGAAAGGCCGCCCCCGCAGNAGCCGGACCGACCGGCGTAGTCGCAGAATCCGTGTGTGTCGTAGCGCGCTGCACGTGCAACCATGTCCTTGATGAGATATGGCTACCTAATGAAGGACCTAGGCTCCCAACAGTACCTACGTCTCCCCCGGCCGAAGCCCCTCGTGCCGCCAAGACAGGTGGGAGGGGACGTGGAAAGGCCGCCCCCGCGGCCTCTCGGGTGCTACGGGTAGAAGTCCTGACGACCGCGCGCGCGATAGAACCTTGGGGGGAGGCTACTAACGACGGCGCAACAGCGCCGGGATGGGGCAGATCGACGTCCATGCTGTCAGCCACACTATTTGTATCCCTCAGAACAGCCGCATCGGGTGAAGCTGGCCGCGGGGAAGCCCCCGGCAGCGCTGAAGGGGTGCCTGTCGGCCGGGTCTTCTCTGAGGAGCGCGGAGGGTCCAGCGTCTGTGGCCCCGCATTTGGTGGCGCCGCCAAAAGAGCTCCCTCCCGAGAATTGCCGGGGGTCGATGCTCGTGGTCTCGCGTGATGCCCCGTAGCCGACGCGCAGACGCTCGTGCGCTGGGACGAGTGCCTAGGCCGTGCGGCTGTGACTCGTAAATCTGCTGATGCCATCGTTTGCCTGTCTCTGTTAGCTGCCGGTCTACTATTGGCCAGCGAAACCTCCGCTCCTGCACGAGCTCGCGGTGGAAGGGGTGGAGCGCTCTTGTGCGCTCCTCCCGAACTTGTACCACGTCGACGCGGTGCTGGAACCGAGGTCCCGGTTGGCGGCGTGACCCCGGAGCGCCGCCTTCCCCAGTCACTGGAACGATCCGTGTGTGAATCCTGCCCACGCTGGCCAGTCCTCGCGAGTACCATCTGCTGGAATGGCGACCTCACGAACCGCAAGATGCCACCGAGAACACCTCGTTGATTCTCCCTCGCCTCACCACCCGCCGGCCGATGAGAAGCGCTTCGGCGACCCAAAACAATTCCGTGTCGAGGCCGCTGCGGCGAAATACGCGTGCTCGGAGAAAAGGACACTCGAGGCCGCTGCTGAGGTCGGTCCGGAACACCCCCATCGAGCGACGCTGACCTCCTCCTCCTCCGGAGGATACCTGACAGTTCGGCTGTACCCTCAGCGCGTCGAGGTGAAGGCGATAGATGTCGGGGTCGCGACCAGGGCCGCGAGGACGCGGACCCGGAGGACCCTGCGCGTCGTCGGATTGATCCTGTCATGCGCGGCGGGGATGCGCTCGACATGTGTGGTCCGCTGGCCAACTGTCGCGTAGAAGCCCCTGTGTCTTCCCCTGCTGTGCCCCTGCCGACGTTTCCGGCCCTATCGGCCGTCTCTAATGCCGACTCCTGTTGCAACCCCCCCACCCGGCAAAGTGCTCGACATCCGTCGTCCTCTCGCGTGGCAAGCTGCCACGCTGGAACAGTCCGATGCAGGCCCCGCCCTGCCGACTGAGAGCCCTGAGGCAACAACCTCTCGGTAGCGCAGCCTCCGTTTTTTGCACGTCCGGCAAGCTGCCACGCCGGGACAGTCCGATGCAGGCCCCGCCCTGCCGACTGAGAGCCCTGAGGCAACAACCTCTCGGTAGCGCAGCCTCCGTTTTTTGCACGTCCGGCAAGCTGCCACGCCGGGACAGTCCGATGCAGGCCCCGCCCTGCCGACTGAGAGCCCTGAGGCAACAACCTCTCGGTAGCGCAGCCTCCGTTTTTTGCACGTCCGGCAAGCTGCCACGCCGGGACAGTCCGATGCAGGCCCCTCCCCGCCGATTGAATGCTTGGAGGTAAAGACCTCTCAGCGGGTGCCATAACCAAGCCCCGAAAACCGGAGGGGCCGTTCGCCCCCGCCTTGCCGCCTCGCCACCCGCTGCCGCTCCCCACGCTTCCGCTTGTCGCGGATACGGCGTGCCGCTGCAGCCCGCCGAACTGGCTATTGGTGCTGGTACCGCCAAATCCCCGTGCGACCAGCCAACCCGGCATACTCATTGTGATGCCGCGTCCCTGCGAGCGAGAGCCCGGCAAACGTCGTGGGGCCCCAACCGATGGAGTGCGGGCGCGCGCGTCCTGCCCCGACGACGTGCGGTTGTTCCTTTCCTCTGTACGGGGTGTCCCTTTGGCGGTGTCCCACGTTCCTCTCAGTCCCGACTCGCTCGCCGTGTTCACGGCGATGCGAACGGAGCGGCGGCGTTGCTGACGCGGGGAAGCGCCGGTATCGTCATCCGGTGATCGACCGGGTGGCCGTCGTTGTTGACGACGTCCTCGACCGTCCATGTCTGGCGACGAAGCGAAAACCGGACCATAAATAACACAAACCTGGCCCCCGTTTGGTGCAAGCGTCGTCCGACGAGCACGCGTGCCTCTCGAGCTCCGACGTCAGCCGAATACCTCGACGAACCTCGTTGCTCGTTCTGCCGCTGCCACGACACTCTCGCGATGACCCCTATCCCCCGCGAGCGCTGCTACTGCTGCTGTAGCCGCGCAAATGAGCGAGAACTCGTAGTCTACCTTGCTGTTGAGGCGGCTGGAGCGAATGCGACGAGCTGACCGAAGATCTCACGAGTTGCTGCACTCTCCCGGATACCACGAATCCCGCCGCACCAAACGAGACCATATCCCGGCCACGAGGCTGCTGCTGCTGCGACCCCCACCACTGCTGCTGCTGCTGCTGCTGCTGCTGCCGATCCTTTCCTCCACACACCCACACAAACACAAACACAAACACAAACCTGGCCCCCGTTTGGTGCAAGCGTCGTCCGACGAGCACGCGTGCCTCTCGAGCTCCGACGTCAGCCGACCACCTCGACGAACCTCGTTGCTCGTTCCGCCGCCGCCACGACACTCTCGCGATGACCCCTATCCCCCGCGAGCGCTGCTACTGCTGTTGTAGCCGCGCAAATGAGCGAGATCTCGTCGTCTACCTTGCAGTTGAAGCGGCTGGTGTCAACATTACGACTTTGACTACATCAACCGGAAAAGACCTTTAGCAGCAAGTCCCAATAGCTGCCCAACACCATTCATTGAGATGTTCGGATACGGCTCTACGCCGGCGATACAAACGGATGGAATTATTCCGGGTTATCGCAGGTAAGAAGAAACTCGGTTCTGGGAGATAGATGCGCTCGCGAAGACAGGGTGTTGAACGGTACTGTTACTCCTTAATCCTACCCTGAGACAAGTTTACCTTTGTGGAGGGGGATGATTGGACTGCACTAATATCCTCTTTGCGAGAGGGGCCTTTTTCCCACACCTACAGCAAAGCACGGCTTTGGCGCGCGTTTTGGACAACGTGGGAAAAGAAAACCCTAAATATCTTTCAGTTATCTGGGATGTTTGGGCGCCGCCAACTGAAACCACTGAGTACGCGTGAAGGCTACCAAGGGTCCTTCACTTTGCTCGGGATGCTAATAAACATAACATTCGAATGCCCCGAATGTTACTCCTAACTTTTTTTCGTTTTTGCCTTCCGACAATTGCAGATGTACCTCAGAAAACTTTCACTTAATGTCTTATACTCTACATGAATATTAAACCAATACGAAGTACAACAACATATGTAGGACTTATTTCTACTGTCACTTACATCGTAAAAATATCTCCTCTTCAACTCCAAATAAAACCAATGACAATCCTCATGGTATCCTACATGCGTTCGTAANAAATCTGTCACATCTACTCTCAAGCAAGACGCTTACTTCAAACGAAAACGCGTTCTACGATGCGTCTACACTCCATCCCCATATCATTGGCGTTGACTGGTTCGAGGTCGATCTTGTTCGCCTATTTTCGGCGTCTTGACGCCCGCGCAATGCGAGCTTGTTCCTCTGCACTCGCCGAGATATGGCCACCTGCGTAGCCACCGGAACGATCTGAAGAAGTCGTTCCTTGAAGACTCTTTTCAGATCCATCGTTCCGCCGTCACTGCCTCCCACGGCATGTGTCGCAAGTTCATCGATGAACTCCTAACTAACACTACCGCTTGTGAGCACTGAAAAAATACACAGTTCATGACTCCAGGAAAAAAAGGAGGGAACGACAAAAAGTCATCATGAAGAGAACCCAACAGCGATTCATGCAAGCATGAGTCTCCATCCTACCCCACTCGGATAAGTGCCGTAGAATCTGCGGCTGCAGTGGGGACCATTTTTGTTACCTATGAACATGATGGATTTGAGGTTGCTACAAAAGATGTGTGTGCAATCGGAAAAAACGCTATCTCCACCGGGTGGTGGTGTGCTTGGTGGAAAAAGCTACATGGTCATCGGGTTGGTTTGGACGGAGTGTAGATGTCATTCCCAGGGATGGCTGAAAGAAGAGTGCAAGACTTCGATTTGCACGTGCAGCAGTCACTGTAGACACGTGTACAGCAGAAGTCGGGCCGAAGATGGTCTGCATATCGTGCTGCTGTCGATTTGTCAAACAGGGACACGCAGCAGCTTCCAGAAGGACATGTGTGATGTTGTTGCGGGCAACACACACACGTAGGAATCCGCTTGCATGTTTGCTGCACAACGGTAAGACAGCAGCGCGGGGTTGTGTGCATGACACAGTACTTTAAAGCTATGTCATCGCGGCGCAGTCGGCGTTGTAGTCTAGCATCAGTCTACCCTAAACGGCGAGTTGCTTGGGACAGAGCAGCAGTGACTTCAAGCCTGGATGCTGTGCACGTCGACGAGCCCCATTCAACAGGTCACCGTTACCTGCAGTGACAAACACGTATAAGATCGCCATGCCCGCCTGCTGCACACAGCACAGGGAGGATGTGTGTACCATATAGAAACAATCTGTATCGCGTATCTAAGTTGGGTGTACCTCCGACGCTGACATTGTTGTGTTGTTGACATCACACGGCGGTAACGTACTCATATCTTGGTCCTCCTGTGAATTTTCAGCCGTGACCTACAATGACACAATGGCGGCAGGGCGCACGGCTGCGGTACAGCAGTGGGAACCCGTGTGGATCGCGCAGTCACCGTATAACGTAAAAGTAGACCCCGGGTTTTGTCACAGCATATCTTCAGAAGATGTTGGCAAAAAACATCAGACTCTCAATCCTCCTGTTGGTGGCGTCATGCCGTGCGATCTGCAACAACAAAAAGTCTACTGAGTCCAACGAAGTACATCTTATAGTCCACGTATCCCCCCCGGTTAAATGGAAATATAATAGCTTCTCAGTCAAGCGCTGTCCCGGGATACATCTAGACTACTGACACGCGTACAGGAAAAAAAAAGTACCACACGACAGTTTGTTTGTTGTTGTTTGTTTTTCTCCCATCATTGGACTCTGTCGTCTGCCCCTCTGGCCCCTATCCTCCACTTCTACTAGCTAGAAGACCCAACCGGGGTCACATAGGAGGGGGGGGTTGGACCCCCTCCTGCGGTTCATGCCTGAGGTATTTTTATCGCGAGAAGGGTACAGCAATCCCTTCCCTCGCGACTTACGAAGTCGATTATGGTTTACTAACAAACGAGCTTTGCAGCGCGTCGCTTTCATCCTAGACCAGGATTTATTTAGTCTAGTGAGAAAATAACTCTCTCTGTCGGGACTCGAACCCATGACCTGGCCCTTAGCAGGCTGCGAGGCTACCCACTAGACCACCGGGGCGACCGGGTACAGTATCACCGAATGAATGGTGAATGCCAGATTTCATCATCCTGGTCCATCTATCTCGGTTGGCCAACATTGCATTAAAGGTGTGCAATCTGTAGGAAGACCCCATTAAAACATCTGCATTGATGGTGTGAGAACAGAGACAGCGACTTACACGGCAGACAAACCCGCAATACAAACGCAAGCCAAACCCGCACAGTGAGAGGTTCCCTTGTGAAATGAAGTTAGTCCTGGTCCGCTGCTCATCCTCTACTCGCGAACGATCTATGGACAACATATACCATATACACCGATGTTTATGGCTGCAGAATATTGCAAGAAAAGTTGAAGTTATGCAACGTTTTGCAACTTCATGCTTGGTACGGGAGCTAAAAGCTGCAAAAACCGTTTTGAAGCGTTTCCTTGGGAGCAAAAAAATGCAATCGGGAGGTAACGTTCTGCAACTTTTTCGCAACGAAGGTGTCGAATAACAGTTGCGCAGATCAACTTCCGCCAATCCACGTCAAGCTGCTCTGCAGGTACCACACACGTAGACCTCTCTAACGTCGATTATGGGAAGGACGTGATCACCGATATGTCGACGAAAACTAAACGAGGTGCCTCATGAACGGCATCTGGAAGGAGATGATGCCATGGGCTGTTGGGCAATGCCAAGGTTTGGTGCCGGGAGGTGCCGAAAGCGTCGAGAAAAAAGGTTGCGCTGCCCACGACCGTCAACGGTCGCGAGCGGGTAGTTCAAGTTCGGCGTTCTTGGCCGCCACGAATTTGGTTATCCTCCGATAACTTCCCGGAGGAGGAAGGAACAGCAATAGCAAGGCCACTCGGCGGGAGGTAGCTCTCAGATCCATCTTTCACGCCCAAGTCTTCGTGCAGAGGGGTTTCGTGCGCGTCGGGAAAAAGGATTTGATTTGACACATAAATTACCCACGTCAGAGAGCGGTTGGTCACAGGTGGTAATGGTTCGGTTTTCTAGCGATAACTTTTCGAAGGATGAGACAACAGCAACAGCAATGCCACCTCGAGGGAGCTACAGATCTAACCAGCATCTTTCTGGTATCAGGATAGACGCCTTGGGGTATCCTGAGTGCTGGGAAAAAAGGTTGCAATAACTACCATCTCCAGCACGCTCATCTGGTCGGTTTTTTCGCAGTGCAATGTGAAATGTGTGTCAGCTTTTCGCGGTTGCTCAAAACAAAACAAAACACGCCTCAGCATTCCGCCTGTCCCATACACAACACTTTGTCCCATAAAGAGTGTGCACCAAAAGTTCCATTGGCGAAAGCTCCCGACCAAAAGTTGCGAAAAACTTGAACTTTTCTACAAACTTTTGCAAAAAAAATAAATACATCCAAGGGCATTGAAGGGCGCCGCCGCCCAAATGGGCGGCAGAGTCCGAATCGCAGCCCGAAGTTAGGTTCTACGGGAATGAGGAGAACGTGGCAGGAATGTCATGAAACTCAGGTTGCTGCGTGTTTCTCCAAGAGGTTTTCGTTTTACCAGTTTTTTTCATGAGCGGTGTCTCGTCGTCACCGGGGGTTGCAAACGCGGAATTTCAGTTGAAGTCCACGTTATCAGTCGATGCTACAACTGATGCTCGGAGTTGCGAAGGTTGATATGATGTCGAGGTGGAAGAAAACCGGTGCGATAGCAGCCACTGGCGACGCGATGAAGAAACTCCATTGAATCGGCACATCACGCTAGCTCGTTGCATGGTGTCGTGTCGCATATCTTGGAATTTCGTAATTTCGAACGTGTTTCGTCTTGTGTTGGGCGTTGGTCGCTCCCAACATAATTCTAGAACTGCTGTTCGTCACCCTGTGTGACATGCAGCAAAGCGGCATGACGTAGGTGCTGCCAACGCGGTCGAGGCCACGGGCAAGGGACATAAGATGCAGAAAAGCAAACCCCGGGTTCTGTTTATACATATCTTTGGAAAAATTCCCAAACAACAATCAAGAACTGTGCAGAAGAAGTTCTTCACTTCCTTCTAGTGATGCGCCGGACGATGACAAGTACCGTCGCTCACCTTCCTTCGACGGACGAGAGATGGTCACCAAGCATCCTTTTTAGTGCTCCGCCTTCGATGTTCATTCATCGAAGCGAAGTTGGAGCGGCAATTATACGCCCGACATTCTTCGCGAGTCTTCTTACTACGCGGATGGCTGAATATG